ATCTCAGCTACACAGTTAAGTAGGGAGGCTGCTGCTGTTGATTACAATGAGCTGAAGCTGGCAAGGGCTGATGAGCAGCAGTTGTGGCTGACTTCAGGAGGGCTCAAAACCAATCCCCCCAAAACACAAAAGGGACACAATACAACATTCAAGTTCAGATGGATGACTGCGACCGAAACATTTCAGGCAACTGGTGACGGTGTGGCATGGCCATGACTGAACAGGACGTGGACAAGCAGGACGGCCAGAATGTAGCTAGGCGTGACATGGATTATAATATTTTTTAATTTATAATTATAATTTCATTCAGAAAAAAATTACAATTCACGTCGGCAGTAATGACACCGTGTTACGTCAATCAGAGGTCACTAAAATTAATATTAAATTTGCCAAAAAAATCCTGTAACAGAAGCCACAAAATGTTGAAAAGACCCCAATACCAGAAAGTAAAGAGATGGAAGAAAGTTTGTTGTTGGGGTTTCCAGGTCATGTCTGATTTCATTAAGCAAATACGATAGCTTGGTAATTTTATTGATCACATCTTTGTCAGATTAGCAACTCCAAAACACCACATTGCTGATTTTGCAGATGATTTATACCTGCTGTTTAGAGCTGTCAAAATCTCACATTCAGACTTACATGTGACCAAAACAATTCACAACAGTTAAATTCATATGTAATTAAAATAAAGTGTAGAAAGGAGGAGAGAACCTCTAACCATAACTACACAAAAACTGTACAAAAGTACAATTGTAGTCATAATGTGTTACCATCAAGAGAAAGAGAGGCTGCATGCCATGAGTTACATGGATCTTTGTCATTCACCCTTGTGCGTCATGGAGACTGCACAGAGAAACAGAAACTACACATACGCGGTTTCTATATCACATCACACTGACAGTTCACAGCAGACCAAAATGAGCCTCAGAGCACTTCAGAAATATCCCGGTGATCCTGATGGCAAGGCATTCAGTTTTTCATTCAGTTTTTTCAATTAATCAGAAGTTAATTAATCATTAAACTCTACTGAGAGCCAATGTGTAGAATATAAAACAGTAGTTCTGTGAGTTTGCTTGCCAGAACATATTAATAGTCTGGCCAGTATTTTGTACTGCTTGGAGGCATAAAAGAGATTTGTCCAAGCTGGCAAACAGGGCATTACAATAATCTAAACGCGATGACACCAATGCATGAATACGTTTTTGCTGTTCAGCTGAGGATATTTTGGAATTTAGAAATTGTTCCTTAAATAAATTTAACAGGAATGAGACAAAGATTTTACATGTGCGTCGAAGCCCAGAGAAGAATAAAATATTACACCAAGATTTCAAATGGTGGACTTATCAGTTGAACATAAAGGAGGGCATGAATGATTTTAGGATGTAATTAAGAACGAGCTGTAATCATGGTCTCATTCTTGTTGATTTTTAAAACAAGCTCATTGCTACATAGCTAAGCAGTAACCTCAGTTAAGCAGTGGACGAGGGTAAAAAGATGAAAAAAACAGTTGTAAGTACAGTTAGAGCAGGTCATCATGTTAACCCTTGCCCAAGATTTTGTTTATTTTATAAATGGTAATAAGGCTGAAAACCAAAAAGCCACATATAATATCAAAACTTTAAAAAAAAAGTTTTAAGCAGATGCTTTTATAACAATGCCCCAGTGTTGAACAGTGCAGTAAAGCTTCTGTGCTTTTAAAAATAGAACAATTCCATGTTTAAATAAGGGAGTGGTAAAATGTTTCAGTTTCCAATGCAAGTTAAACAAGTTTCAAACAAAGAAGATATTTTTAATTAAGTTCAGTTTGAAAAATGGAAGAGTGATGCATTCATTCCCTCTTGACAGGTTACTGGCACATGTACACGTAATTCCATTAATGCATAACTGCAGTTATTAAACAATGAATCAGTGTGTAGAGCTGTTCACACTAAAGTAAAAAGCACCATCACTTCATGCGGATACCCTCTCGGTGCCAGCTGCGGTCGCAAGGCTGGAGCCGAACAACAACACCCTGATAACGACTGTCTTTAGTCTGTTCCTTCCCATTCCATGCAAGGCCACCTGGGTTGGCTGGAAGACTGTTTACTTAGCCT